CAGTGTTTATGCTTTAGACACGCCCACTCTTGTGTCACGCCCACTTTGATTCCACAGATAACCCCTTCTCATCCAGGCTGTAGCCGATGGTCGCCCCATACATTGCTAACAGTTGCTAACAGTCAGTCAGCATAGTTTTCCGGGTCTGCTCAGACATGTTTCAAGCTTTAATCAACAGATCTCTGTGGTGTGATAAACATTTCCTGAAACTTTGTGTGTTTTGGTTTGGTTTATTTGATGATGGGAGAGGGGAATATATTTAATCTTTGAAAACCAAAATCCAACTCTTAAATCAGCCGTGCGATTTGCCTCAAATTTCTGTCATCCGTAGATCTAAGTGATAGAATTTCCCAAAGATTCATCAAAATCTGAGGTGGATTTATTTAATTTATTTTCATATTTTACAGACAATGGAGCTCTGCAACAGAGGTTAGCCTCCTCCACCCTCCTTCTGCTGTCCAGGAAAGAGAGTAAACATCTGAAAACCATTGGAGAGGAGCTCTGGTGGCTCACAAACTGTCACCATAGGGCTTCTTCTGCAGCATGACTGAATCAAAACTGCCCTATTGCCTTCTCAGGCTTATGTCTTAAAAAGTACCAAACAGATTTATATGAAACTTTCAGGAAATGTTTGTTTCACCACAGAGAACAGCYARTTAAAGTTTGAAACATTTCAGAGCACGAGCGTGCAAGCGGCTCAAATCGGATAGTCATGCCGCAGAAGAATCACTCTACACGGTGACAGGTTGAGCCACTCAGAGCTCCTCTCCAGTGGATCTCAGGTTCAATCAGAATCATGCGCCTGCTCAGGCTCTGAAATGTTTCAGATTTTAAATGGCTGTTCCCTGTGGTGTAATGAACATTTCCTGAAAGTTTCATCCAACTCTGTTTGGTACTTTTTGAGATATAAGCCTGAGAAGACAATGGGGTAGCTTTGCCATAAGACGCCATCTGGACGGTGGCAGTTGGAGAACAATATGCTCGGAGCTCTTCTACAGCCATTCTTGGATGTTTACTCTCTTTCCTGAACAACAAAAGAGGGGATGGGAGGAGGCTAGCCTCTATTGCAGGGCTCCTTGGCTGTTAAATCTGAATATAAATAAAGTAAAATAAAACCACCTAAGATTTTGATGATACTGTGGGAAATTCTACTGCTTTGATCTACAACGGACAGAAATTTGAGCCTAATCGCACAGCTGGTTTAATAGTTAGATTTTGGATTACTAAGATTAAATATTTTCTCCTCTCCCATTGTCAAATATACTGAACAAAAAAAAAGGTTTCAGGAAATGTTAAATGCACCACAGAGATCAGTTTCTTTATGCTACATTTACACCGAACACATTTTGAGCATCAGGAGCGTCTGGTTTACATGCAGTCAGTGGTGGACATGCATCCGGGGCRTCTAAAAGCTGAGCAGTGCGTCTGATGCATTTTGAGCAGCGCAGTTTGAAGCGGTTTCCACGTTTTGAGCATTTTCTGTGGGTGCGGCACGTCCAAAGAGTCCARCGCTTGTGTTGGAAAATCTGAACTTTTGCTGCTTGATGCGTCGCATCAACCAATCAGAGAGACTCTGCTCAGTGACGTACTGGTAATGCTCCRAAAATACTGGAAGCCTGGGAAAGCGGATCACACATACAATGGAGGACAAACTAATAGTCCAAACATTTAGGATCATTCAAGTGTCCATTGTCGTTATTGAAATAAAAATGATTTTGCCTGGAGGACGATTAGTGAGGAAGTCGACATGTGTGGTGAGTTATCAAAACTACAGTTAAAAAGGCTCCTCCTCTCGCGCATCTACGTTCACATCAAATGTGTCTGTTCTCACTGGACAACAGCGTCAGGAGGCATGCATTTTGAGATTTTTGGAGGCGCGCAACACATTTGGTGTAAATGTARCACAAAGTTTGAAACATGTCTGAGCAGACCTGGAAAACTTCTCTGACGGTCTGTTAGCAACTGTTAGCAATGCTGGGAGCGACCACCGGCTACAGCTTGGATCTCAGTKCCGCAGATCAAGTGCTTCCCCTGATCTAATGACAGTGAGCTGGGCTGACCGCTTGAGCTCTGCGTCCTAGGGGAGAAGCCAAACCCACTGCACCTGAATGCATATTATCTGGTATAAAAATGATTAATAAGTGCCTTTCAACCTACTAGGAGGTAGAGGAGGGACAGTCTGCACACAATGTATGGGACTGATAACCACTAATAATGGCCATTTAATGTACTGACAACATTTAAAGTGGGTGCAAGAGGAAATCACTTCAGTCCACACTAACCAATAGGGACACGCCTTACGGTGGTTCCTCATTAGGCCCCGCCCCAGATGTTCATGTTCTCTGAGTTCAAAAACTTGTTTGAGTTCAACCAAAGATTTCTGTTGTGAAAAAAAGAAGTTTCTGTTTTGCAAAAAAAGTTTCGATTAAAAAAATGTTATTGAATTTGCCTTTTTGTTAGGTAGAAATTTTTTTGTGGCGGGGGGTGGTTGAATTTTTTATTTTTATTTTTTGATTGAAATGGCTTTTTTATTTAGTTGAAATTATTTTTCTTTGGTTAAAATTACTTCTTTGATTGAAACGGCATTTTTTGTTTGAATAATAAAAACACAAAATTGCCTCTATACATACAGGAATCAGAAAATGCATATCAGTGCACTTGTCCTTATGGATTCTATGGCAACAACTGTGAGCTGAGTGCCATGACATGTGCTGATGGGCCTTGCTCCAACGGTGGACGATGTGCTAACAACCCAGATGGAGGTTATTTTTGCCAGTGCCCCACAGGATACGCAGGATTCAGCTGTGAGAAGAAGATTGACCACTGCACCTCAAGTCCTTGCTCAAATGGTAAGTGACAGTGTGACCAAACAAAAATCACCCGCTTCGTATGTTATCATCCATGAAATGGACGTTATTAGGCGTTATTAGTCCCCTAGAATGGCTTCAGAATGTCCCGCCTGTGCCGGTTAGCAGGTTCCCCCGTCCCATAGAATGGCTTCCAATCATCAGCTGGTTAGTATGAGGTATAAAACCACTATCTGGTTAGTATGAGGTATAAAACCACTATCTGGTTAATATGAGGCATAAGAAATCTGGTTAATATGAGACTTAAAGCCACCAAGGTTAACCTTAGAGCAGAAGACATGGTTAGCTAACTTCCGACAGATGTATTTCATGGCCTCTCAATAAGGCAATGGGTAGAACAGGGTTTGAGTCCGACATGGACACAAAAATTTAATTACTATATGTTTTGGTTATTTGCAWTGTCATTAATATATTAACCCACTAGGGGGCACTGTCGGGACAGTCTGAAGCCTAGAAGGCACAGTAGGGACCCTCTGAAGCCATTGTATGGGACTGATAACGCCTAATAACATCCATTTGACTGATAACATCAGAATCCCCTGACAAAAATGGTGTTTAGTCAAAATGCGTGGAGGATTTCTGAATTGTGCCTTGAATCGTGAGAGATCAGCAATAATTTATCCACGCAGTAGGGATTAAACATTGATGTGAGGCTTTGTGTACTWTTTTCAGGTGCGCACTGTATTGATCTGGTCAACTCGTACCTGTGTCAGTGTCCAGACGGTTTCACTGGCTTGAACTGTGACAACACAGGAGATGAGTGTGCAGCCTATCCTTGCCAGAATGGTGGCACGTGTCAAGAGGGTCCTAACGGCTACACCTGCACATGCCCACCAGGATCCACAGGCCGCAACTGCAGCTCTCCCATCAGCCGTTGTGAGCACAACCCTTGCCACAATGGTGCTACCTGCCATGAGAGAAACAACCGCTATGTCTGTGCATGTGTCCATGGGTACGGTGGCAGAAACTGCCAGTTCTTGCTTCCAGAACATGCTGCAATCCGTGGATCAGAGGTGCCCTTGATGGCTATCGGATCTGGTGTAGCTCTGGTGCTGCTGCTGCTGGCAGGGTGTGCTGTGCTGGTTGGATTTTTTCGATCGAAAGTTCAGCATGGTGAACAAAWTGAAGTCGTGGGCGACAGAGAAACAATAAACAACCTGACCAACAACTGTCATCGCAGCGACAGGGACCTGGCCATCAGCGTGATGCCAACACAAGGAGTCAAAAACATCAATAAGAAGATGGACTTCTGCAGCAGCGACCCTGATGAAGGCTCTTCACCAGGAAGAAGCAGCTATAARAGCCACCATCAACCTGCAGACTACAACCTCGCACATGAAGTCAGCTATGAGCAGGCAGCGAAGGAGGCCATGCTGGAGGCAGCCTGCGAGGACAAGTGTCAACCTGTTGATTTATTTGAGTTTGAGGAGAAACGCAGCAAACGTTTAAAATGGTAAATATTTATAGCAAAGTCAGATTGCTAAGTTGTTTTTCACACAGAAAATGTGCTAACTTGTTTTCCTGTCTGTCTTAAAGTGATGCATCAGAAAAGAAAGCCCCAGAACTGTCTGCATGTGTGGACACCAAGTACAAATCTGTGTTTGTGATGTCAGAGGAGAAAGACGAATGTATAATTGCAACTGAGGTAGGTTCACTTACAATTTTTCWATTCATGTCCAGAGAGCCCGAGTCTCATGCATTTTCTTTTGTCTTTCTGCTCATATCCAGGTGTAACAAGCCACGAATGAGCTGCCTGTTGCTCCGTTGTTCTTTGGGAGTTTTTATGCTCCTTCAGATGCTGCTCTAACCCTAGGGGGAGGTGTCCCGCCTCAAGACTGCTGCTGATACTGAGACGTTTAACTGATATTCAGAATGAGCTGGTTCTCTACTGGTAACTAAGTGTAGGCAGCGGCGGCCTGTGGGATAAGAAATGGCAGGGTAAAAATGGATAAAAGTTTACAGCAAAAASTAAACTGACCCTAAGTTTTCTGTTTAACCTTTCATTGGAGAGTAAATAAARTTAACATTGTCACATGGCGTACAATGCTACAAGTCTTGTTTTTGCAACATTTGCAGCCAGGCCTTTTCTCTAACCCACATGCCGTTGCTGAATGCAGGAACTGCATCAAATGGTGGATGTTTGGCCATACTGGCCTGCTCTTCACCAGGCTGTTGACATGGGCTGTGCACCCAATGCTGCACCTGTGAAGACTGTATGTATACATGATCACTGTGTTAACTGAAGTGTGTTTTCATCCCTAAGTCCTCCGAGCCATTTATGGCGTAGCATTGCTCTTTTTTCCCCTCTCCTTTGGAACACAGTGACTTGTTTATAAAAAAAATATTCTTGCTCTTTGATTCTCATTTTGCAAAATATAAAAGAAGAAAAATACAAGGAAAATGTTATGATTTAA